AAATCTGGTTTTACCCTTTATTTTCCTTTTTCATGGGAAAAATAACACTTTCACCAGGGGACAGAGAGCCACTTGGGACTGTTATTCTGGAATTTTTCCCCTTTCCTATTCTTAATAGGCCCAAGAAGGATGTTTTGCCTCCCTGCATGGAAGTAGTATCACAAGGCTGGAGGGAAGGTACCCCCTTGCCAGTACTGAGTCCCCACCTCCTGTCCTTTAGAAAAGGCAGGAACTCACCCAACAATCACTGCCACACTGTTATCAGTCACAGTCACCTTGACCAACAGCAAATATCCTCAGTCCCATCCTTGGCCTCCCCATCACTGCCTGGTACTGCTCACCTCTGTTTTGATTGTACCAGCACACCAGACCCACACGCATTGACATGCCCCTTGCCCAGCTGCCTCCTGTGCCCCTGTGGCCACCCCATCCTCTGAAAGCAGCAAGACTTCTGAGGAGTGAGGCTTGATAGAAGAGTAATAAGAGCGTGCTTTGCTATGCCCTTGACTGGTCTGGGCTCTCCAGAAAGCAGAGGGGGGACCTTTTGTCCTAGTCAGGGCTCTAGTTTCAATAACAGTTAATTTTCTGGTAGGAGCACTCCTCAAGAAGATACTGTTTCTCAGAGAAACCAAGTGCTGAAACCTTTCTGAGGTCTTCCAAAGCCCTCTCAATGTTTTCTTTTTGTTTTCTTTTCGTTTTCTTGGAAGAAAACTCCATGGCAGCAGGAGTGCTGGAGTGTTTCTTTTTGGTGAAAAAATGGTTTTGTTGTTGTAAAAAAGCCCTTTGGGCTAGCTGGTTCCCACCAGAGTCAAGCTTCACAAGAAGTAGGATGATACCACTGCCTCAGGATAGATCTACACCTGAAGTAGACAAGACATCCATTTGCTAGGTTCATGATCCCAAATATCATTGTGTTGAAGACCTCAGTGAAATACGTTTACCATTCGGCAGGTTCTGCTTGGAAATAAACACATGGACTTGTGATCTCAAATGCTATGACAGTATATTTGCACAGTCAGGAACATGACTGCTCAGAGCCTGGTCCCTGCTGAGTGATAGATGGCCAAATTCAGGCTGATGGGAATATGTTCAGGGCTGTGTGTTAGAGGCAGTGCTAAATATTTTTTATTTGACAGTTTCTTTTGGTGTGTGGAAATAGGGAGTGCTGCTCATTTCAGCTCCCACTGTCCACACAAGCACGCCCCCATCTCAGGTGCTTTTGGAGGCCATTTCCCTGATAGTGCTAAGGTCTCCTATCCCCGCAGAAAGGACGAAGCGCTAGTGATCAAGCGTCTTCCCAACACTGCTAAATTTGCCCATCTGCACATACACAACTTGCATATAAGGCTGGCAGCAGCGGCCAGGGATTCTCCATCGCCTGAACAACCACTAATCAAACTGGTGTGTCCAGGGCCCAGTCAGGCATTTCTCCCTGCTGCAAGTCGGAGGTGGGCCTGTGTGTAATACAAGGGAGAAATTACAGTAATGCCAGTTTCCCATCACCCAAGGATCAGGAGTTTCCGCAGCTGCTTCTCACAGGCACCGCTGTATAAATGTCTGTGCTTGGCTGGTTACGATGGGAATTGCCATTCATCACGGCGTGAGGGGGCTTAAGCTGTCTCAGCAAGTTGTCAGTTAACCAACACTTACTACAGAGCAATATGATCAGTATGAAACATGTTCTTGCAGCTAAAAAGCCTTAAACATTTCAGATGCAGCAGCTTTTGAAGACTTCCAAGATACCTTCTGCAGTACTCATTATTATTTTCCTGCTGCTGAGAGGGAGCAGTCAAGATAGGCACTTTGTGTTCATTACCCAGCAAAATATTCACTGGTCTATTTAATTAATGCTTAGAAAAAGTACTTGATGAGCTGTAAGTTGCTGGGGGTGAGGAGGGATGGGGAATACAGAAATAGATTAACGTTGGCTGACCTTTTAAACTTTTTAAAAAATTACTTCTTCTATTTTTACACTCACAGAGTCTTGTGGGGTGTTCCCCCTTATTTCAGGCACCTAATTTCTCATAGCAAGAGTTGTTGGCTATCAAGGAACCTCTTGTAGGAGCTGCTTGAGGCAGAGCTGCTTGTTGGCTGTATTGCAAGAGATGGAGGTAGTGGAGTAGAGGTGTGGGACATGCTGTTCTGCCAGTTTCCTTGTCCAGCCTCTCCATTATTTCCTGGACATATCAGCTTCACACATGGAGGAATGCTGCTCCCAGGGGAGTCCTCAACAGAAACCTGAGAGTTGCCCCTTAAAACTGATGATCCTGAAACATGCTGTAAGAAAGGGCTTATAAACTGAACAGGCAAAACTGACAGAGGGGCAGAGGAGGGAGGAGTATTTTCTAAACACAGCAAAACCACCCCCCAAGCAGCTAAGTGATTTTCTGAAGGTCATGAAGGAAACGTGTGTCCAAGTCAGGAATTTAACCCAGATTTTTTTGCTTGGTTCATTGCCTTAGCAGCTGGACACTTCTTCCTGCCTCCTTCGTCACTGACACTGGTCATTGTAAAGTGTGGTTTCCTTCACCGTATTTGGAAAAGGTGGTAACAGGAGGAGGTCTGATTCACGATCAGTGCAAAAAACGTCTCTCTCTCTCTCTCCCCTTTCTGTTGTTGCAGCACTGGCTGTGAATTCAGGGGAGTCTGCTCCAGTTCGGGTTTTCTGAGCTTGCCACACAGAAAATCCCATAAGAATTCTCTCTGAAAATCTGTTTTCTTTTAAGTAGCACCAATTTCCTGGTGCACATGTTTTGCATTTGTCTGGGTGCATGTGTGAGAGCCAGTAGCTCCCCAGCACACTCTCCACTCTGGAGATCACTTGAGAATTGGGTTTTCTTTGTGAAGATGAAGTATCATGTGCAAGCTCTGTGCTCTGAGACACTCAATTTTGTATAGAAAATGATCTCTGTGTGTGCCTATGTGGAAAACCTTGAGAAAGAGCCTTGCAGCCTTAAGAAACACAATATCGCCCTCTAGTGATGATGAGGATGGTATCATCTGATCTGATGAAACAAAAAGCATTTTGGCTATCCTTCACTGGAATTCAAAAATTAAATGAATGCTCCTGTTTTCTTCTGACCCTGGAATTAATGATCCTACCGTCATAACTTAGAGAGCACTGATAGTGGTGATAAGCAGAGAAGGTTCTTCAAGAATCATAGAAGGTGTAAAATTATCATTTTTCTCCATGAATTCAGCAGATGGAAAGCCAGCTGCACTCAGAGAGCAGATCTAGTAAGATGGTTCCTTTTTTAATGCAGCATCTTTTTTTTGCATTTCTAAAGACGTGTATTTTTATTTGCCAAAAAAAGAGAGACAGTTTCAAGCACAGGAGGTGAAAACCAGTGGAAACCAGAAAACAAATTAAGAAAAAGTTTAAATTATGTGCTTCGTGATCCTACATTCAAACGTGGGTTGTTTTGGTTTTTTTTTTTTTATTTGGGCTTTTATTTCTGATTTGAACTTTTCCTGAGAGGAAGGAGGGATAATAGCAGAAGCACGTCAGCAGAGGAATAAGAAGAGCTCAAAATGTTTCTCTCACTCTAGTAAGCACTTAATTGGTTGTATCTGTCAGGAAATAAACTGTTTTGAAGTCTTCAGAAGACACTTAGGAGCACTACAAAGCTTTGACCTTTACCCCTGAGCAGTTACATTTAAGGCCCTGCATTCTGCAAAGAGCTCAACATGGACAAGCCCTCCAGTGCTTGTGTGAAGCCCCAGAGCATCAGCAGGTCTCTCAGCTCCACTCCGAGACAGGGAGTAAGGTTTCTCTGTAACTGGACCCCACATCTCAACGCAGATTTCTAAGGTATCTGCTTTTTTTAAGTTCTTCATGCAGACAGCATTTCCCTGCCACCTTCCCTATTCTTATTGGCTCTGACAAGGCACGATAGTACTGGAATTTATGTAAGGAACATTGCTGTCACTGTACTGCAACTTAAAGATGACTATAAAACAGGGTAGGCAGATTTTTTTTTCCTTACTTAAATCACAAAGTAAAAGCAAAATTCACCTTAATCATTTGCTGAACCTATCCAGGCTTTCTCTGGCACTACAGGAACACAAATCATGTAACGATCAGTCATTAACTTTGACAGTATCCTCAGCTTTTTTCCCCCCAAAAGGTCACAAGGCAGAATTAAGGGCTAGAGTCGGTTCAAGCCTGTGGCAAAACTCTTATGGAGTTCACGGCCAAAGGATCAAATCTTCAAAGTAGGCAGGACATGGAGTACAGAATAAATTCAAGACAAATCATGGACTTTCAATATAATTGCAAATATTTGGGGTAATCAGGCAATGCAAGAGAGTGTGTTTTTCCTCACACCAAGAGTTTGGGCTGGTCAGCTTTCTACTGAGTTCTGAGAAGTCATTTCAGCTCAAAAAAAAAAATTAGATCATTGGTATTCCCAGTCATCCCCAGCATTGCTACTCACGGTACTGGTAAATTGTACAAGGTCCTTAACTACTGCTGGTTTCTTGCTCTGTGACAATAGCTGCTATGTGCTAGCTGCTAAAATATGTAAAGAAGCCTTAATAAAATTTGCCTTATGCAGAGCTGAGGGACAGGGAGTGAAACCAGAATTGGATTTCCATTGATGAATATTTTACAAGATGCAGGTTAACAGCACAAAAATGGGCAAGTTAGCTAAAGGAGTGAAAAAAAAAATGCCAAAATGTGATGGAGAATGAACGGAAGTGTACCATCAAACAGAAAACCACCTATTTGAAGTTCAAAAGCAAAACAAGGGATTGTTTAGAAACTAAATCATTCACTTGATGATCCAGTTCCTTTGGTATGGCTTGGGTGATAGTGACTGATTGTGTCCTGGAGCATGCAAAAGCCTCTTTCACCACCCCAGTCTGCCATAATCCAAGAAACTTTTTTTTTTAGTATACTCATCATGACTCCATTGACCACATTTTTCAGGTAATGAGTGCATTTTTATGTTTTGCCCTAGTTCCCCCTTGTGTCTCACCTCTCTTGCTTTCCCTTTCAGGTTCTACATTGAAAGCATCTCCTATCTAAAGGACAATGCCACCATTGAGCTGTTTTTCTTGAATGCCAAGTCCTGCATCTATAAGGTAAGGACTTGGGGAGCTCTGGGTGGCACTGGGGTGGGCTGAGACACCTGGGTCTGCATTCTCTGCCCCCAAATCTACATTAGTCACACCTGACTTTGAGATACGACCTTCTCCTCCTCCTCCTCCCACCCTTCCTCCCTCACTCTTCTGTCTCAAACCACCCCGGCGCTTGGCAGCAGCTTCCCTGTTGGAGAGAGGTTCTGAGGGAAAACGCCCCTGGAGGTAACTCCTGTGGTTGGCAGGAGGGAATCTGCAATTGCTAAAATTATAAACTGTCTTGTATTTAGAAGGAAATGTTTGGGTTTGTGTTAAAAAAACGCTGAGGGAGGCCGGCTCTGGGCTGAGGGATGTCGTTAGGGGTTCCCGCCCGAAGAGGGCGGCAGTGGCCGTGCGGGCCGCGGTGCGGGCGCCATCTTCTGGGTTAAGCGGCGGGGCGGGAGAGTCTGTGAGGGGGTGAGTCTGTGAGGGGGTAGGTGCGTGTGTCTGTGAGGGGGTAAGTGCGTGCGTGTGTCTGTGGGACTGTCCGTGTGTGAGAGTCTGTGAGGAAGTGTGAGTGAGTGAGGTGGCGTGAGTGCAAGCGTGGGGGTGGGCATGGAGGGCTGAGTGTGTGAGGGGTGTGTGGCTGCATGCATGTGGGACCGAAGAGTTTGTGCATGAGTGTGTGTAAGTGCGGTAGGGATGCGTATGACTACCTGTGTGTGACTGATGGAGTCGGTGAGACTGGGGGAGTGAGTTTGTGGGTGTATGTGCGTGTGGGGCGGTAAGGGTGCTTGTGGGGATATACTGAAGATAGCTTTGTACAGGAACAGGCCGTGCACTGAGAAATGTTTTTTGTACCAGAAATAGACCTGTTTGGTAGGCTACTGAAAACACCAGCCTGCTGTCACGGCACTGTAACTCAGCTGCTCCTTGCGAGGCACTCTGTGTGCCAGAGATAAGGGTGCCCTGGCACGGCCTCTACTTCCCCGCCGGAGTGCCCGTGCCAGAGCTGCGAAGCTGATCCCTCCAGTGCCGCAAGCCAACCGTACAAGTGAAAGGCAGGGCCCAAAAAATAATGAAGCAGGCCCAGAACCCACCGAGGTGGAGGCTGGCTGCGTGTAGACTCAGCCAGGCAGGCTGGATAGGCGACTTGATGTGTTGGACTGGGAGAGGTTTTTCAGCAGCTGGGATTCCCTGGGAGGATCCCTTCTACCTCCCTCTCTGCTGGCAGAGGCCAGTGCCCCGTGACTCACCTCCATCTGCCAGGGAGAAAGCGGTAGAAAAGACATGTGTAGTCAGGGACTGATTGTACCGCCACGCCACAACCCTCAGCAGGTTTGTGACCTGCTAAGCTGACTAGCTTACACTGAATCTGGAGCATCACTTCCTGACATCTGCATGTCCTAAAATGCAGGGACTAACTTTGCATCTCCTAAGATGCAGGATAGAAACCAGAAAATGCCTTTTTTCCAGTGCTCAGGAAAGAGGCAGAGCTGCTGAGCTGAGCTGTGCAGAGCTTTGCTCTCCGGCAAGGCTGCAATTAGATGTGCTTAGTCAGCCCTCTCCAGCAGCAAGCTCTGTGAGCATCACGTTTTCGTTCCTGGGGAAAGTTCCTTTTTGAAGTATTGCCAGGAAAAACTTACACTGTTGTTCTTTTTTGGGGGAAGGCTTAATAAGAAGAAGAGAAAAAGAAAAAAAGTGCCTGCAGATCTAGGTTGGCCTATTTTTGTCTGACCTCTCCTGAAACCATTACTTTGCACTATTCAAGCTGACTGCCATCTCTATTCAAAAACAGCCTTGCTGGATTCTCAGTCTCCCCTGTGGGTCCTTCCCCATTTGACTTCCCAGTCACAGTAAGCCATGCTGTGCTATTAAACAAGGTGCTGAATTTGAAAGTTGGGTGCAAAGTCTCTGCTAAGACACAGGGCAAGCACCCAGCCAGCATGCATTTTAATTACTCAAGCATGTCCAGAGAAGGGCAACGGAGCTGGTGCAGGGTCTGGAGCACAGGTCGTACGAGGAGCGGCTGAGGGAACTGGGGGGGTTTAGGCTGGAGAAAAGGAGGCTGAGGGGAGACCTCATCGCCCTCTACAGCTCCCTGACAGGAGGGTGCAGAGAGCTGGAGATGAATCTCTTTAACCAAGTAACAAGCGATAGGACAAGAGGGAATGGCCTCAAGTTGCACCAGGGAAGGTTTAGACTGGATATCAGGAAGCATTTCTTTCCAGAAGGGGTTGTTAGATGTTGGAATGGGCTGCCCAGGGAGGTGGTGGAGTCCCCATCCCTGGAGGGGCTTAAAAGTTGGGTCAACTTAGCGCTGAGGAATCTGGTGTAGTTGGGAACTGTCAATGTTGGGTTAATGGCTGGACAGGATGATCTTCAAGGCCTTTTCCAACCTTGATGATTCTGTGATTCTGAGGATCCCTCGAGGTGCAGAAAGGAGGATTCAGTGTCTAAGCACAGCCAGTGATTATCCCTGCAGCTAGCGGGTGGTGTTGTATGCTCCCAGATCTTGAAAGCTTCCTGGTTGCACCAAAAGTTTCCTTCTTGGATTTCCCGTGGATACCTTCACCCCAGGCTCCCTCACAGCCCAGAAAGACCATCCTGTGTTTGATATAATTGTAGTTCATAACACTATGCTAGCACTGCAGACCTTCCCCCATTGATTCTCCAGACACCCACCCTCAGATATCCCCATGCACAGGGCTGCTCAAGTTGGGAAAGAATAAAACTGAGGCCTGTTTAGCTTGGGGCTGCAGGTCCACTGGGTCACCAGCTGGCTCTGCATTAGGTGCTGTACTCCTCTGGCTGTGCCCACCACTCCTCCTCGCCCACCTTGCTGTATAATGAGACATTCATGGACACACACCCTCAAACACAGGACCAGCAAGCCACTGTTGTCCAGAAAGGCCAAGCCACCAAACAAGACAGGGCTTGGTGTCAGACGCTGTCCCTTGATCAGACTCTTTAATTACTACCATATTCTGGCATGGGTTTTGGCCTGTGCCAACTAGCCCTGTCCCAAGCTTTGCTTGGGCACTCTTCAGGGATGAGCACCTGTTCCCAACGGCAGTACAGCTGAGGTAACCCCATCTGGGACTGGGGGAGGGAGGAAGAGTGTCTAGTCATGAGCCATACTGTGCCTCGTACCCTTAGGGCCAGAGAACAGGCTCTGGCCCACTTTACCTACTAGCACAGACTTGCCATAACTTTGACATACGGTTTCAGAGTCTGGTTTGTCCATGCGATGCCTGGTGCTTCAAGATGGGAGGAAGACTAGGTACTGGTTCTACTCTACATTGTCCCATTCTGTAGGATATGTCTGACTGCCCCAGCCCAGCCCAGCCTGCAGCTGAATCGACATCTTGCACCAGCTGCTTCCCTTGGCATAAGCACATCGTTAGTGCAGGTGCCTGCGTGAATCAGGCAGTTTAGCTGAACAGGGGAAGGTGTGTTTATCGCCTGTAGCAGAGCTGGTCTTCACTCCCCAAGGAGTTGTTATGAAGGAGGTGAAGGAAATGCTTATTTTAAAAAGCTGGCACTGGTGAAAGCCAAGGACACCTGGATATTATCCTGTGTTTTGTTCCCTTTGTTTTTGATTTTGCCAGAGACAAGCCAACGCAGCGATTGTGGCTTGTAAATGAGGTGTGGCCATGACTTGGCTGGAGCGTGGATCACAACAGTGATCTATATTTAGATCACTCGTTTCTTGCCAGATGAAATAAAATATTAAAAACAGCAGCTTAAATAAATACAACAGAAAAGCCACCACAGGAGTGAGCTTAACAATGACCCAGTTTACAGGGCCACGTATGTAGGAGACAACATAGGAGTTTTAGTTGCAGAATAGAGGCCTCAACAGTATCTCAGTAAAAGCCCACTATTTTCCCCAAACCAGGGACCAGAGTATCAGGGAGAGCACACTTGGCCACAAGATTAACACTCATGCCTCCCATCCCAGGCATCTTTGATGCTGAGTCTACATCCCACACATGCAGATGGAGCAGTGCCAGCACCCCTTGGTTCTGTTACTGCTGTGTCAGGCACAGCAGAAGGACACAAGAGGATCTCATGGGACCATTGGTGTCCTTCATGTGACCATAAGATTTGCTGTCACAGCTCATTCTCAAAGCACCCCCAGCCCCAGTGCTCATGGGGGTGAAGCCAGAGCTCCCATCCTGCAAGAGGGAGTATGGCTCTTTTTCCTGTGAGTTTACCCTGGGCAAGGGAGAGAGGAGATCTGCGGGGGCTTTGAAACAACCTCAGTGAAGACAAATTTTCTCATTTCTTTGCTTCTGTGAGCCAAGGACAAGGTTGTGTTCCCCTGAGCACAGGTGATGTTTGGGGGAGAAAAAAATTCCCAGACTACCTTTCACTAAATCACACAAGAAAATAAAAATTACCCTGATCTTCCCCTTTCCACCTGCCTTCTCCTCCCTCCTCCCAAGGAATCCCTTCATGCTACATCCAGTTATGCTTCATTTACCAAGCCATTACACTGAATGTTTGGCTTTCTGCACATCTGAGTGGGCAGGTTCTCCCTCACTTTGGTCTCCAGGATCACAGGGAATGCTTTGAAGCCCAGCCAGGGGAGAAAACTGGCACTGCATGCTTCACTGTGCAGGAGAAGATGCACATCTTTACAGGGGCTCAGGCTCACCTCTTTTTCTTTCTTGTTTTCTTCACCTGTCAAGGAACTCATTGAGGTTGACAGTGAAGTGGTGTTTGAACTGGCTGCATACATCTTGCAGGTAAGCACCTGTCTTCTATCACTTCGTGCTTCCTCATGTTGCATTAAATCTTTTTATTTGCTAAATCCAAAATGGCTCTATGGAAGTGTAGGGTTTGCCCAGTTGCAGGAGAAAGATGTCTTTATACAGTTTTCGTCATTTATGCCAGCACAAAATAAGTACAGAAGGCTCTCAAACCAGACCTCTCCACGCATGGAGCAGATACAACTGCCCAACATTTTGCATACATAAATGTATATTATGTTTGCACTGACACAGATATCCAAGACCCTGGGGTATGATGTAAAGCCAGAGAAAATCTAAGTGATGAATGCAATTTCCTAGGTGAAGTCCGTATGCAGTGGGTTCTTCTCCAGTGACTTTATTTGCATTCATTTTGTCAATGGAGCTTGACCCTCTGATCTACATATGCAACTTGGAGATCCATAAGCTTCTACATATGCAACTGTCTGTTTCTCGATGTGCTCAGAACGGCTTAAAGACTTTCAAAAAAACTTTTCCGGGAAAAAAAAAAAAAAAGTGTCTTTGAAAGTCCTGCTTTTTGGGAAGAGGGAAAGGGTCAGAGAATTTGCTAAATCTCTGGTTCCCAAAGAGGAATCTTTTCAGGGTAGTGGAGGTGGTTTTTGTAAAAGATCTCTTTTTAGGAGAATGACTGTGGGAGCAGATCAGAGCTAATTGTCAGATGATCCTTGTTCCCCTTTTATACAATGTAGCTTTAATTTTTTTTCCCATCAGCCCTGAAACTATGAGGAGCCATGCGAACAGACAAGCCATCTCATCAGACTGCACTAATAAATAACAATGCATTGCATTTCTATGGCACTTCCCATGTTAAAGAAGCAATTAACACATAGGGATTTGAATCTTCATTAAAATCATTTTATGTAACAAAAATGGAGCCAGAGAGTCAGGATGGGGGACTCAATTAAAAGCACATTATAGAAATTGCATATTGGCTGTTGGGGGAATACACATCAAACAACAGGCTCATTGTGAGAAGCAGCAATAGGGTTATGAATCTATTGTCTGCTCATCCTAATGAATAACTTGAGAGCTTAGTAATTGTACAGCCAGATCCAGATATGCCACTCTAACCCTTGTTGCTGTGATTGTTTCTTGTCACAAACACAGGATGTTACGCATATTCCTGTAGTAGTTTGATGTGTAACTTAATGAAAACAGTCAAAACAAACCACACCTCTGCTGTCTGCAACCAGAAATTACTACAACCCGTGTTTATGACAGGATCCAAGCAAAACAAGAGGGATCTTTTGTTCTACTTCTCACTGCAGCATTTAGGTCAAAGAACTGAAGTATGAAGAATATGCCCTACAAAATTGTTTTTAAAATTCAGTATGATCATCCCTGTGCAGGCCAGGGCATATCCTTTGGGTTTTGCTCTGTGTTGAACCATAATCATGATACGCTCGAGGACTCCTTCCTGTGAACCAGAGGAGGGCTTGTCTGCCCTTCAGTTCACTCGGAGGGAAATAGGAAGATGATAGAAAAGGACTGTCAGAACTCAAGTGATTTAGTCTGCAGCCTTATTTCAAATTATTGTGTTACCAGAACAAATTGAAGTACCACCAAAGCTCTGAACTTTACCCCAGCCTCAGGACTGAAACACCACTGGACATGGACTGACAGGTTTTGCGGGTGGATGAATGGATGTAAAGACAAAAGACCTGAATGCAAAACTCAGTCCTCTTGGCAGTGGAAACTCCCTCACTGCATAAATTACATTCTTGCACTGTGCTTTCTGTGTGGCTGATGGCAAATGAGGTGCTTTAGCATGCATCATATGAAATGCATATTGCCTATGGAAAATGAAAAATGTGTATTACATCTATTGAGGAGGGGACTCATGAGATTTTGAGGGTTTGCCAGATATGCAGGAAGACTCAGGTACTAATCTAACTACAGGAGTGGAACATTACCTGGCCCTTCAGCATCAGGCTGTGATGGTAATATATAGAAATACCTAGATATATAAGTAAGGGAGCTAAATACTCCCCCAAACACCCAGCAAGGAGTTAGAGAAACCTGTGTCTTGCACCCCCTTCAAAGGTGACAGTGAGCTAGCTTTCTGAAAGTCTAGTTACTAGAAAATAACCAGCATACTTGTAGAAAGAGTCAGGGGAGTTGCAGTCTCAGAGGCAGCAATCACTGAGACTTCTAGTAATGTAGCATCCCCATTGACCCAAAAAATTACTTATTTGCTAGCATAATCCTTGCAGCTTCTTGGGTATTCACTAGCAGAATGAGGAATCCTCTGGCCCTGTATTAGGCAAACCTTTTGTTCGGTAATCTGCCCAGCTCACTGCATGTATCATGGTACTTGACATTAGATACTGGTTCCAAAGAATACATGAGGAATCAATTACAACAGGAAATTGCTGCTAAATGAATTTTGCAAATGGAACAGACATTTTCTTAATTTTTTTTTCCTATTTTTAATGATATATTTTTAATTTTTCTTCCTCATTTTACAGGAGGCAAAGGGAGATTTTTCAAGGTAGGTGAACTTAAAAAGTTTTTGCCATTGTGTGCTGTGAGAGTGAATCTGGTAAAATCACTGTGTGAGTGATGTGACTCAGTAGTTGCTGTATAGCAACAGGAATGCATTGCTAACACAGACATCATGTTTCTTAAAATCATTTCTTCACAAAACACAGCCTTTGACCAGAGCATGCCTTGCAAACAGCATTGTTTGTGACTGTGTTGTTGACAAATCTCTTTATATGCCCAGGAAGTTCAGGAAATAGACTAGTCTTTGGAAGGAAATTACTAAGGAAATGACTCTACAATCACTGTTATATCACAGATCCAGCCAGAAGCAACATTAAAATTCCATCACTAATTGATATTTCAGTTGAATTTGGACAGAGTTCTCAAAATGACAATTTAGATAATTGGTTTTGTTGAACTTCCGCTATCCCTTGAGCCAAATCGTCAGATTTGCTGTAAGAAATTCAAAGAGGTGACCATGCTTAGTGTTTCAGAAGACTGTTAATGAAATGCCCAAGAATTTTCATTTAAGTTGACAGTATCTGTCAGTTACACATTAGTAGCAACCAAACATCAGATAGCTGTTCAATACTTCATGGGAAAACATGGAAGTTCCTCACCTGAAGCTCAGGAGAACTAAAAATTTCACATACTCCATATATTACTTTTGCTGACCTAAACGTGAGTTCAGCTGGAGGATGACAATATCCATTGAAATTAGTTTCAGAGAAGAAAACAAGATGTGAATGGGCAGTGAGGTTGAATTGCCAGATGAGCCTAAAGAGGTGTTTTAATTTTGTCAGCACTGAGATAGACTGAGAGAAGACTGTAATGATACTCTGCACCATAGGAGGCTGTGAATAACAGGTAGATTCTGCCTTCTGGTGGACTGGAACTTATAGCCAGCTAAAACTGAGACAAATCAGTGAAAAGGAGCAATGCATTGCAAATAATTGCCTGCCTATTGTGGAACTGGAGATGACATAAGGTAACCCTTGCTAAAAGGAAGTTGAAGATCTGCCTTATCATTTCTCAAAACCCTAATCAACTTGCAAAATCCTGTCATGCATCTGACCACAGAAACACAAGCCCAGTCTTGCTCCATTTTTCAGGTCCATCCGATTTGGAATAACCTAGCTATCAGTAATGTTTATTTAGAGGGTACTGGAGTGCCCACAGCTGTTTTACTTTTCAGTTTGGTATTCAATGCGCTGCCAAGTGCTTAGCCCAGAAGAACTGGACCAAGCAGAGCTTTGCCATTAAAACCTGTGATAAACCACATCTTGCATTGGTTTTGCTATAAAGAAGAGTAATATTTCTCAGAATATTTTGGACATGATGAAAAGACACCCAGAAAGTGTACATTCAGTCTATGAAACACAGAACAGAATGGGATCAGATGACTTAGGGTAATAGGACTGAAACCGTTTTATCTGCAAGTATCTGTTTCCAGATCAGAAGTGGAAATAGCTGGTGGAAAGCATCCATCTGCTAAAACCTGTTTGATGTCCCTCGTAAAAGGAATGATTGAGTTTATCACAGTGCATTTCTCTAGGCCACAGAGAAATGAGAAGTCTTGTCTGAGAACACAGAAGATACCTCAACACATGGTCTTAACTGCTTCCTCCACATTGGTGTGGCATCGTCACCATCCCCATTAAAACAGTTGGCTCTTAGTCCTTTTCACCTGTGGATCACAGTGGTTTGAAGGGGAAGGGGATATCCTTACATCCAAGTCAGGCAGACAAGTGGTGTCGTAATAACGACTTCCTGACACTGCCAGGGATCTTAATTTGTAAATGTGCTTTGATGGGAAAACAATTGGCCATATTAGTGGAGTTTAAAGCCTGTTCTTGGAGGAAAGTAGAAGAATGCTACCCTGACCCTCCATGGTCTAGGAGAAGACAGCATCTCCAGGGATGTCTGTCCAGCAGCTCCCCTCTAATGTGCACTGACATGGTCTTAGGTGCTGGGTGAGATCCAGGTGCTACTGAAGTCAACATGGGGTCATTATGGTCAAGATTTTGCCTGCTGAGATTTGTGGTTATTCGTATCACCAGTGTAAAATCTGGGAGGCAAATCAAGCCTGGGGCCAGCCAGAGGAACTGCAGATGGAGACAAATGTTCTGACTTCTCTTAGAGCTGAAGTTAGCTTCAGTGTTTGAAGTTAGTTGATGTTGAAATGCTGTTTAAAGAAGTGGCTACTCTGAAACAGAGGAGCTATGCAGTTGTGAATGTCTTGCTGCTGAGATTTAAAGATAGTATGTTGTGCATGGCAGCATACATTGTGTGAAGGCTGAACTCTTGAACTCCTGATTTGTTTTTGAAGAAATAAGTCAATTCTAAAAGGTTGCATGCTTGTAACGCAGACTGAAGATTTCCCACACCTGTCCTGTCTACTGCCACCAGCAGATTTATAGCCTGTGAGACTACAAGTTTCGCTTTGGCCCTGATCCAGTGAAGTGCATAAGCACTGGCTCATTTGTAGTGATAGAATTGTTGTTCCCTAAAACTCTTCCTATGAGTCACTGCTGATCACCTCAGGTGCTGGGATAGTCAATGCCAAATTGTCACAATTTCAGCTGCGGGTTGGCACCTGCCCATGGTGGCCAGAGCATGATTACTTCCAAACCTCACTGCACCCAGGTGGCAGATCACAAGGAACTGCTTCAGGACTCCTGAATGCAGTTGCAAGTCTGATTTTTGGGTCTCATGGGAGCTCAAAAAACAGAATTGATCTTAACAAACTCTAGCAGTCAGTTTTCTACCTTTGTGAACTGATGTGTCTACAGTGACAGTAGCTCCTGCTGTTGCTTTTGAGGAAATCATCCCATGCCTCAGAATAATGACTGTACTCACAGTACTCCTCTTTCCTTTCCCCAAAAGGGTTTATGTGCATTTCAAACACATGTTCTACATCCTTTGGTAGGTCATCATCATGCCTGAGTCTCTTATCACTGATTCTTGCCACCTTGGGGTACCATCTAACTCAGGCGTCACAATGACTGCTGAGTTAGGGGGTAATCCTGGCAGTTTGGTAATCCTGGAGAGCACACAGTGCAAGTCACCCTTATCTGTCTTGAACTAAGATGCTACAATAGCCCTGACAGATCAGTTTGACACCTATAGCGAGCAATCTGACTAAGCTCTTTTCCATCACTAATGTGTGTTTCATTTCAAAAAGCCAATCAGAAACCCTGAGCTCCTGAACCCATTTAGACCAGCCAGGGAAAGTATTTCTCAGTGATTCCTGTAAATGGCCTGGTCCAACTAAATGCTTTTTAAGCAGAGTTGTACAAAGGGCACATTTTAGTTGATAAAAATTCAGGCAGAACAAGATTTAAAATAAAAAGTTGTTCTCCTTAAGAAGTTCCTAGTTCTCTGCGTTAAAGGAGAGTGCTTTTCACATTATTTAATATTATTATTTTCAAGACTGAAAAAGCTTTACATTTAGGCTGGAACATACTACTGAATTTAGGATAATTGAGTATCCCTTTTCAGCTGAATCTCAGGTTGAACAGGACTCTTAAGATTGCATCTGTGGTTTTTGATAATAGCTGCAAAAATTTTGATTTCATAGGCATGGAATCATGTGAATAAAGCTCCTAAACTAGTATCCTGCAGACAGATGTAAAGGTTATTAGCTCAGGCTAATCTTGTTTAGCTGGGGGCTGAGTTACACTTGGTTGGCAGAGCATGGGCAGGACAAATTTCAATTCCTTAGATGAACACAAATCCTACAGGTGTGACTCTCTTTAGTCCTACATAGAGTGAACCAGGGTGCCCTGGCTAATTTGGCAGGAAGCATCACATATTGTTAAAAGAGTTGAGATTTTCCCCTAAATTAATCCTACCAGATTTAGAGTCTAGTCTGACATTGAACAAAATATTTGGGAAACTCACACCAGCTTTGGTTTTAAATGTTCAGAATCCAGCTCTTCAACCTTAAACAGCATCTACGTCAAAGCAGCTGGAAGTAACATATACTGATTGTTTGTCCCTCACTTTGAGGAGGGGAAAGAAAAAACCTGAAGTAAAATCCTGAGGCATTGCAGCTAGTTCTTCACACAGGCTCTCATTGCTAAATTTCTTCCAGTTAAGCAATTTGAGACGTTTCAAGTGAACTCCAAGTATGTCCCAGCAACATATGAAAGAATAACAAGGAGAGCAAACGGCCAGTTTCCTGTTAAGCAGAATTTCACAATAATTTCAACATTTGGGCAGATGGTAATCTAACATAGTTTCAAGCTTTTCTTTCTGTGTAACCCAGTGACACTTAACAAATTAGAATTTATTAAGGGGTTACTAAGCCCAGGCTGCATTCTTGCAACCTTGTGGAGAAGATCCTAAACACTGTATTTCAAACAGTACTATTTAACCCAAGAATCTCAGACTGCATTTCCTCTTGCATTCAACAGAATTCATTACCATGCTGAGGAGAGTTGATAACTTTAACCTGCAGTTTTGTTTTGTTACTGATGCTGGAAAATGTATGGATTTCCTGACACAACTGCATATGTAATCTTGCTCAAAATTATTGCAGCCACTTTGCAAAAACTTTGTTTTTCACAAAATGCTTATGCAGTGGCTAGGTAGGCCTTTTACCCCCATGTGTAGATAGAAATACTGAGATGTGCTAAGTTATTTGGCCAAGACTCATTAAACAGGCAGTACCAGAACTAAGACCAGAACTCAGCAATTCTGTTTTCTAGGTCCATTCTCCAGTCATTAAACCTTATTTCTGGATATCTAACCAGCTTTGAGGAACCAATGCAGATGGCTTTCCCAGTTCAGTTTTCAGATTGTTATTCAGTCTTTTAAATATTATAATTTCCACCACAGTGCAGGAATTAAGTGGTCTAGAGGACACAGAAATTGTGTTTGGAGCCTTTCCCCTGTATATTAATAAATCTGTATCAAAAGAACCCTTCCATATATAACAACCATGGAGGACATTTTCACATATAAAATAAATGCAGCACAAGTGACCGGATTAAACAAACACTTTCTAAATACAGTAATAAAATAAACACACTGAGATATTTCACTAGAAAGAGAGGGAAAGGCAGTAAGTACAAAACCACTTGTGATCCTGCTGGAAACATTTTAAAAATTAAGGGGTTTGGTGTTTTAAAAAGAGCCAAGAGGAAAGTGACCTCACGACCACTAATTCAAATGCAACCTGAATCATTATTTTTTTTCTTTTTTCTTGATTTGACATCCTTTTGGGAGTCTAAATTCATCTGTCTTGAGACAAGTCTTGCCAGAAGACTTAGTGAATATATGGACCATGGAATGAAATGCCTTTTTGTTCCTGGAAGTAATTACCTGAAATACATGTGGTACTTTGAAGTTGTGAGGCACTACCTTTATGGTATTTTCTAGGTACTGAGCAGAAATGCTAATCCCATCCAACAACATCACTAAGAATCTTTTTCTCTGATGCTTAAAAGACTTCTTATCACAGTGCGAGCAAGCTGTGCTCCTCACTGACATAAGACGGAGCTGACTGGTGTTAGCCCTTTCTTTCATGGGAGCCATTACTGATTCAGACTTTTTCCCAGACTCTCAAAGATAGTTAGTCATCACTAATCTTGCCCTGTTTGACAGTCTTCTGAGCTCAGAAAGTCCCGGTTTGGAGATTACTCCCTGTTTTCCCAGAAAAGTTTTGGAAATTTCTCAACTTCCTTCTGTGATCAGCCAGCCTCAAAAACACTTCACTTGAGGGCAGTGACTGCTGCTTGTGCTTCAGTTGTGCTGGGTTCTTTTTTTTTTTTTTCCAAGTTTCTTTCAAAATGTCAGAAAACAGTAAGAGCTGAGTATGCACACGCTGTGGAGGAGACATCTCTGGGCAGACCCAGTAAACTCTGTAAACAGCAACAGCTTGTTTTCTAGGCTGTCAGTCACAGAACAGAGCAGCCAGATCAGCAGATAACATGGAACAGAGCAGCTTCTTGTTCAGACTTGTGCAGATATTTACCTGCCATGGAAGAAAAAATCTGAATAGTTTTTGAGCGTTTGCACATACAAAGGAAGATCTATCTGATGGTCAAGTGACCATGGAATTTAGGCAGGAGTGGGTGTTCAAACACTGTTTGTCAAGAGTCATTTGACTTGGCATATGAGGTTCTACGGAGTGGTTCTCTATATGCTTAGCATGGAAATGGTTGCCTTAGTCATCTTTTGTAAGTGCTGTTTTACACATCTTCACCCTGCAAAATCTGAAGCTAATTGAGACTTGGGCATCTCCATCATAGATTTGTCTTGACTTGGAGTTGTGGTCCTGTTTTAAAACTACTTAATTGATTGTCAGGGAACTGTCATGATAATAAATGCCTGTAGACATACCCAAAATGCCTGCTCCAGGATTTATGTTAGTGGTTTACCCTATGGCCTAACCTAGCAATTAACCTGCAAACTTCAGTTGAGGCAGAGCCTGCTGCTGGGATGTGCAAATGGAGAAATGCTCTAGGAAGATTTTTACAACTGAAGCAGTATCACATCTCTCTGAGACACCATACAGACTGTCCCAGAGACAAGAACAAAACTCAGGGTGACCTGGAACGTCCAAGGGCTCCTTGGGCCTTTAGCAGCTGTTAGGATGGCTAGTCTAGAGCTGGGGATGCCAAGACTACCTGTCTGCCTGGTGAATGGCCCTGCTGCCCTACAAGAGAAGCCAGCTGGCTAGGAAATCTGGAGCTCTGGAAGAGGTATCTCCCTCCACAGCTCCAGGACAGCCACACTTTTTAGCAGGATAAAGGGCAGGGTACAAGAAGGCAGAAAAAAAAAAACGCTATTAAGAAGTAAGCCAATAAACATTAACTCTTTGGCACTCCTCAGTGTCCTGTCTGGCCCTCTTGGCTGTGTATTTCTACACTTTTCAAAGTGACAGCAACACTGTCTTCCTTCCCAAGCCTTTGAGGGATTTTTTTTTCATCTGCACACAATTTCTTGTGTGTTTAAAAGTGGGAAGGAGGCATTTTGGGTTTGTAGGAGAAAATCTCATGGTTTCATCTCATCTGCAAGAACCTGCCACCCATTTCACGAGCTCTCCCTTCTCCCTGGTGTGCAGTGATGCTGCTCCAGCTAGCCAGTGTGGCCACTAGAGGAGGGGAATGTTAGCCAAGTTGGGCCTGGTCCCACAGAGGGGTTCATGTAGCAGGACATAAATTCAAGCAGGAGTCTTATCAGTGAAGATGTTGTGCAAAGGCCAGGTCACTGGGGCAAGAGGCTAATAATCTGTGATGCTAAGAAAGCAAATCATTACTTTTTAGAGCAGGTTGTAAGGCATTAAATAAAGGTACTTTATTGCAGCTGAAAGAATCGCTTTTTCTTCTCTTCCCCTTGCTTTTTTCTGTGTATGAACCTGTCTGTGGGACCCTGATCAATGAAATGTGACATGGTGGCTTTCGTGTCCAGTCACAGGTAGGAAGTGCTTCAACATAACCATCTGGGAGAGCTTCTCTTCAATTTTGATAATAGAGGGAAAAGTTAAATGGGCTGCCATAAAACAAATAAAGAGAGAAGAAAAAGGAAACCCCCATGCCTTTTGTTAAGGAGGAACAGATGTAGAGCTGTAGCGGCCTGCCAGCTAGGTCAGCTCATATCAAATATTGTGGTTGTTTTCTCGTAGCCTGATCCTCCTTTTGAACTCTCTTTCAGCAATGAAGTTGTAAGGAATGAATTAAAGAAGCTGCCGGCCCTGCCAACGCCAGCGCTGAAGGAGCATCCTTCCCTCGCTTACTGGTAACGTATCATTCAGCTGAGCAGCTTTGCAGTGTCTTATGCAGGACCTGGCTCTGGCAATAAGTGATCTGAGAGTGGAACTGGGATGCAGGGATTCCTGCCTCCTAGTTCTGTGTCTGCCACTGACTCATTGCATGATTCGACACAAGTACAGCTACCACCCTGGGCCTCAGTTTCCCTGTCTGCCAAATGGCTGCAGTAATATCTGGCCAGAAAAATTCACTGTAAACATGCAAGTGTCCTGATGAAATCAAGAGGCTTCCCAGCACTTTACATCCGCGCAAAGAGTTTTCCCAATTGGAAATGTCAGTGTTTTTGTACTGCTCTATTTTTGAGTGATTGAGCTTCATCTTGAAAATCCTCTATGGCATAGCTGAATTAAAAGAGATATATTTCTCCTTTTATACGGACTGGGTGTTGTTCAGAGGTGGAAGCTTGGGAGCTCTGCCTTTACTGCACTCAAAATTAAATCCAGGGTAGGAGCAGGGTCGCAATTAAATTTTGTATGCCTCACACATAGATTCTTTGTGCCACCCTGCCTATCCCTTTTATCTGTGCAAATAGGAAAGAATTTGGGGAAAGACTGTTCATTAACAGGAGATGCTTTCACTTGATTTTCTGCTTGTTCCTCTTTCATGTTTGCCTTTAAAGCATTAAGCTAGAAGCCTGGGGGTGGGAGTGAACTTCTTTATCTGCTACTCTTTTAATTTCTGCATCTTGGTAATCTGAGGATGGCAGGGGGAAACAAATCAGATTGTAGTTTATGATCTCAATGCTTCCCTTTGCCTGGAAGGCCATCCACTTTTCCTAGCATGGCTGCAATACCAGAATTAGCTGTACCTCCTGTCAAGCTATAGGCAAGCTAGTCTGTGAGATCTCCTAATCACTTTCTGGGCACATCAGGAGAGACTCGAAGTCCTTGGCTGAGGTTAGGAACACTGACACAAAAGCTGCAGATCATCACAGTCTCCTGGTGTTTCTGTTTAAGAACCAAGCCAAATCTTTATGAAAAATTGATAAATGTAGGCTGCCATTTCACTGGAGGAAGAATAGTCTCCCTCTTTGGAGCACCTCTTTTTCCACAGACTAATCCACACACTGAAAAGCACTGCATTTCCAGCCAGGTTGGTGACCAGGTCTGACTGACAGCCTGGTAGCTCAAGCTAACAGCCACCACAAGAGGAGTGGTGGGAACAAGTAGCCATGGATGGAGGAGGCAAATCAGACCCTTCAGCAGTAACATGGACCGAGGTCTTACCAAAGTGCCCACATAGCCTTTGCCTCAGTAACCTGTGATGGTATCCGTACGCAGGAAAGCAGTGACAACCTCGGCTGCCTGTCAGGCCTCGTCTGCCTATCAGGATCTTTCTGCCCCTACTGTCGGCAGGTGTTAGTCAGCGTGCCTATCTTAAGGACTTCTGCTGGGAAATCTCAGTGAGGTCTGGGACTGCCTCTGTCCATATGACACCCTCCTTGGGTTTGGGCTATGTTCAGTCACCTGAAGCAAGAAGAGCCGTGTAAAAACCTCATGCATTCCACTCAAGTATTTACAGTTATACACAAGGTACAGCACTTCTTGCAGCTGCATTTCGTGGGAATTCTTATATGACTAACAACAGGTCACAGGCTGGGAAGCTGGTTGTTTCCAATAAAACCAGTGGCTACAGTCCTGTGACTCCCTTGCGATTTTACTTAAGTAACCAGGTCTCAGAGACCTCTTTATATATCAGTAGTTCATTATTTTTTAATGGTGGCTTTTTCTTAAACACCCTCTGAAACACTGAAGTAGAGGCTGCAGGTCAATCAGATTAAAAGCCTCTGAAGTACAGATCAAACTTCAGTGATCTAAGAGGACAGATTTTTAAAACTGTGTTTTCTGACCCTTCTGCATCTCATGCAGATTATGTACTGGATACAAATTTCATCCTGTTTTCTGTGTGCAGTCAGTTTTATGCTGCAGTTCTTCAGCATTAGCACAAAGCAGTAGCAAGTTAATTTCCAGCTCCAGAAAGAAACATTTAAAACATTAGGAGTGGGATGGGTAGTTGCTCTAGTTAGTTTAAAACAAACAAACAAAAGAACCCTGTGCTACATTTGTATAGGCTGAAATGAACTAAGAAGCAATAAAATATAATAGGTTACCTTCAGCAAGATACTGTGATAGATCTGTATGAAATAACTTTACCATCACACACCATGAAAAAGCATCACCTGTTGCTCCTATCAAAAGTAGTAAAACCAGTGGGATTATTCCTGGATTCTTAGATGCAGCAAGGGCTGAATCAGCACAGTTTGGTGCCTCTCTGACTCCACCTTCATGGAGCCTTCTGGTTGCATACCCTTGCTGCAGGCCTTTCCCTTCACTGTAACCTCTTCTTGGGGATTTGTAGACATCACAACAAAGATGAAGGTTGTAGTTTTTATATCATTAAGATTTTGTTTCCAGCTCTATACAGATTAAGAAGAATCAGCTGCACATCTTGTTCTCAAGCATCTCTTAGCTTCACTGATTACCAAGGAAGCAAGGAGTTTGGGGTTTGCTTTTTGCTTTTAAATTAAAACTTAGCTTCTGGTCTTCCCACACAATCCAGGAACTGGGACCGTAATTTTTGATTTCTTTTGCCCACGCATGGAAATAACTGACAGTATTTATTATTTTTGACACAAAACTAAACACAATGAGACAGGAGACAACCTGTGTTAGTTCACAGCACTCCTTTCCAGCCATTGTCATTGTATTTTATCTCAATTCTGATCCTTCCCAGCAAGCCAGCCCAGTATTAGGTTGCCAGTAAAAATGCAAGGAGGAGATGCAACAGCACTAAAGTGGGTGCTAGAATTCGATTTTCAACAGATGAGGGGATAGACTTCTCCCAGGTTCTAACAGACTTTGAATGCAAGCTTGTTTTTAGCAACCTGAAGCATCAGCATTGCCAGAAAATTCACCTCTGAAAATATCAGCTGGAAATCACTACTTAGGTTCTCTAATACAACACAGAGCTGAGGCTCTATTCCTGCTCTTCGTCCCTTTGGCGCAAGAGATGCTCTGCTGGCTTCAGTGGGACAGCACACGACTGCAAATAAAGACCTTAGTAAGTTCAAGAATATAATCAAGATGAACAAAGGTTAGAAACAGAACAACAATAAGGCACAGCAATGAGTGGGCAGCTATTTAAAACAGCTCAGTGTGCTGGGAAGAGAGGGGGGAAACAATTACCTTTGAAAATCTGGATCTGATGATGAGAAACTCTGGCCATGCAAGTTGTTTCCCATACAGTTCTGGAAGCTGCTGAGACAGGAGGGATTTCTTGGTAGTTCTAAAGATCTTTAGCAGAGTTGTCTGCTGCAGGGTATCTCCATGTACTAATTTTTGCAGCTTTGGAGGGAATGTTTTATGTGCTGGCAAACAGACGGTAGTGCTTCAGCAGCCTCTGTGTCTCCACATTAGTTAAGCATCCTCTGTCAGCCCTGCGTTATGAATGAGTTTCTGTGTCACTGACACAGCAACAAGCCAGAGCAGGGGGAGAGGAGATGTCAGCTGGTGGTCCAGGCAGTGTCCCAGCACTCTCCCAGCTGTCAATAGCAGCATGGCAGCCGCTTAGATATGAACAGCTGAAATGACAGGGGAGAATGTTTATAAGCTCTGCTAATGCTCCTTCTGACCCGTGAATGATTTTGCTTGTTTTCCCCAGCACTTGCTGGGCTTCCCCCTCTGTCCCAGAGCTGGAGGCAGAAAGTGACCTCTGTGCTGGATGATCCTTCTTGCACAGGGAATGAAAAGGAAGTTCAAAGAACTGTCAGAGGAGCAACTGTCACGCAGCTGGGGTGGGATTCATCTGACCATGAACATTTATTTCTTCAGTGTAGACCTCTCCACCTGAGCTAGGTGCCCACAGCTCCCTTTGCTGTCAGGATGAATTGTGCTCTGCAGTATCTGTTTCTTTCCCCAAAGTGTGACTAGCTCAGTGTTGTGGAAAGGTGAGAGGCAGAAAATCCCACTCTTAAATATTAATGACTTGATGGATAATTCAGGGGTGTGTGTGTGTGTGTGTGTGTGTGTGTTCAAAAGTAGAAACCAGGATGATATTATCTGGAACTTAACATCTGTAGACCTCATATTATTATACAATGAAAAGAAAGATCATCAGTATCCTAATGAAGCAGTGAAGGTATAGAGAGTGTTGCCTGCATTTGTTTAGAAGAACTGGGTAGAGCCTGGACTATCCCCCATCTTTTAGTATGGGTTGAGAATGTAACTTTATTCATGCCAATGATTTTCAGGAAGGCTCCCTGACATCTAATCTGCCCTTTTGAAGGAAATGGGCCATCAATTGGCTTCCCAACCAAAGGGGTATGGTCTGGGAACATATCCATAATTTTATAATAATCATTTGTAAGAAAGCAGAGCACATCCAGGTAATTACATTAGCTAATCAGCTTGTAGGTACATCTATCCTTTCCTTGAATGGCATCAATATGAGAGCTTGATCTGTACAATAAACTGCACAGAGTGGAAACCAAAGCTAAGAGCATTTTCCACTGGAGAAACTGTATTGTTTTCTGAGAAGTCACTCCTGGTTTGTTCCTGTCTGAGACAGAGAGGAATTTCATCCACATGTAATCATGGTTTTAAGATGTAATTTCAAAAGGCTGTAAGCCCTCTCTGTCTATCTTTTCTATTAAGAATGATGTTTTTTGGAGATCTTCCAGTACTGAACACTCATGTAATTCAGTTATTGCTCCAAAAGTAATCCTGTTTATGATAATCATGGCAGGAGACTCAGGCCCTGCCTTCATGTGCACACCCATAACATCTGTGGTACTTGCTTGGATCAGTGGGCTGAACATGGCTTCATAGCTGTTGAATTTACAGCTTCCAGATCATTTTCTAAACATTAAAATTATTCTGAGAGATTCGATAGGAGAGCTAGACCATTCCTTTACCCATGTAATTTGTCACTGACTCAGTCAGTACCCTGTACCTGCTGTGACCTGCTGGTGGGACATCACTTCACCTTGCCCCAAAAAAGAGCCCTTTTATTTTTGCAGAATGAGTGGGGGAAGTCACTTGGTGAGTGAGTAAGGAAAGCAGCTACTCTCAGACAAATTACAAGCTTGTGAGGGAACAGCTGGCCCTGCTGACAATCCGACAGACTGTCTACTTTTAATTGCTCTGTGCTGCATACACTGGTGTTTCTGGTCCTCTCCCTTCCTCCCTGCATTACCAGGGATGGAAGCACAGTCCTCAGCTCCCCTGTGCCAGGCCCCATGCCCCATCTGTGCACAGTATGTCTTGTTTGTCATGTCACAGTGCACTGTGTCCTCCTTGTGATGTTGCAGAAGAGAACATCCTCTGTGTGATGTAACAGCAGGCTCTGTGTGGCCTCTACCTGTGACATCACTGAGGGCCTTATGAAGGCTGGGCCCAGCAGGGACAGGTGAACTTCCTTCTAGCAGAGATTATGGCTCCACACAGATCTCTCTGGCAGAAAGATGCATATGGGGAAGGCAGCAATGAGGAGATACAGTCATGTTAGAAGGGTTGGAAATGCTTTTCAGTTTTCCATAAAAGTCCCCACAGTGATCTCTGAGCAGTTGCAGTCATCTGCCAGACCATCCCACACTGCCATCCTCCTTCACACTGTCTAGCAATAAAAATAGCTCAGTTCTGCCTGGGGAAGGATTACCACATGATGGACAACCATGTGGCTGCCTTTAAAGGCCCCATTAGGGGCCCCAGCTGGACCTAGGAAATTCAGGGAGGGAGAGGAATTCCAGTTCACATCGCCCTGAACCACATGCAGCATGATGGCATTAGATAGACACTTGGTACTACTGGAACCTTATGCAGTGCCAGGTGGGGAGGGCGCAAAGGTGCCATAAAGGTAGTTTAGGCTTCCTTCCTCTTGGACTAGTAAGGTCTGTACAATATCTCGAGGGGACTCAACAGATTCCTATTTCTTGGTCTTGCAACATAAAGAGCAAGAGATTGGATTTAAACCTGAGGACTTGGGTATTCTGTCATGCCAATGTAACAGATCTGGTCCTATGGGCATCACATTGCTGGAAGTTAGAGAAGAACCAAAGTCAGACCAGTCTGAAAGTACCAGGCTTGGAGGCTGTGATGACTTGCATGGCCATAGATTGGGTGGAATGCTACTGAAATCACAGGAGAGTGCTGTGAAGCTTTGAAAGGAGATCATCAGCTTATACTTTACCATGCTTGTGACCTTGCTAGCACAGCTGATTGTATGCATCAAATAGCTCTGGTTCTGTGCTCTCCTGCTGCCCATTCACTGGAGAAGGAATGAGACTCTTTAATAAAAAGTGAACTTACAGATGTCTCTCAGTCTGTTATTTGGGTCATGCTGATCTGCTCTTGGATGCTACATCTCTTCCATGTACAGGTGAATGTCTCAACGTGTATTTATCAAACATGCCCAGAACTGTTATCTGACACAGAGGCCCACTGGTGTGGAACAGCATCCATCTATACCATGAATCTGTCTTAGTCTCCAAAGCAGTGCTGGGAATGGGCCCTGGCCCATGCTAACTCCCAGTGCATAGCCAGGACCTGCCTGGGGAATGCAAGTTAGTATAACCCAAAAGTATGCAGATACATCAGTACTTTAACAGTAAAGGGACCCAAGTTTGAGTGCCTTGGAAACATTCCCCGCCACTGTTTAACCTGCTGTTACAGACATTGTACACTGGGAATTCAACTCCTTGCTCAGAGAGGTTTCTCCAGAGTACTTCCACTAATGCTCCTGTACATGGTCATGTGCAGTTGCAGCGAGGAGTATTCTGTGAGGCTTCGAACTATTACTGGCCACCAATTTCTGAAAGCTTTGCTAGCTTCCAGAGAACTTGACGGGCTTGGAAAGAAGTTGCACCAGCTAGGGCAAAGCAGAGCTTGAGCAGCTCCAACATACATCTGTTTGCCACTAAATTATTTGTAGAAAAGGAAAGTAGAGAGGGAAAAGTCAGCACACGTAGATACCATGTTTGTGAGTAAAAAAGGTTCTTCCAGAAAGCTAGCTCCTAGAAAACCATTTTTATTCTCGTCTGTGAGTTCCCCTTGTTTACCCTGGGCTGCATCAAATCTCCTCACCTAAACACTTTTGCTTGGCATCTTTTCATTCCCTCAGTCTGTAGCTGTGTTTACAGAAGTATCTCTTCACTTTTTGGCAAGATTCTTAGTCACGATGCTGCCATTATATGAAGCATCTCATTTCTTCCTTTCCAGTGAGGATCGAGTCATTGAACATTACAAGAAGCTAAATGGTCAGACAAGAGGTCAAGCAATTGTGAAGTAAGTGAAATAGTGACTTCTTGTGACCTTTGTTTTATCAGGAAGTATTTACACTGAACTGTAAATACAATATGTAACTATGCCTCCCATCTCGTCTAATGCTTTATTTTTAAGTATTTCTATACTTATTTATTTATTTATTAAAGCTTTTTTTTTCAGATCAGCCTCTCAGACACGTTATTCTCTTGTGTTGTTTTGCAGTTACATGAGCATTGTAGAATCCCTCCCCACATATGGAGTGCATTATTACGCAGTAAAGGTACGTGCTACAAAAAAGGGTCATTTATTGAATTAAACTGTTGTTGGAGAGGGAAGGAGAGAGGTACAAATAACCATCCTGCTTTCAGAATACAATACGCTGCTACTAAAGTCTCGTTTCACTTCCTGTGGTCGGATAAACTTATTTCAACTGTGTAGTGAATGTTTGGTAAATACAGCTCCAAAGAGGAAAATCCTGTGCTTGGAGATAAAACTCTTGCAGTCCTATTGTGCTGGAGATGTTCAGCCCACAGGTTCTGGTCATGCCAGTGAACCAGCACCAAAGGGACAAGCTAGCCAGATTGCTGACAGTCTTGATGCTTCACTTCTTTTTGTAGTTCCAGAAGTCAGATTTTTCTCAGCCTGCAGATCCATGAGCCAGCCGTGACCTGCAGACTGTAGCTCCCTTCAGTTGACATACAGGCAGATGGATACAGATATAGTACATCTTTTTAATGCCTAATCATTGGCCCACACTCTAGAGATAACATGTTTCCCTCCTCAAACAGCTCTCCAGTTCTAACTATGTGGATTTCATGCAGGTATTAATGAAATCCCTCATTTCTTTTGTCTAATGATTTATCACCAAATCTTCCAGTCTATTATTATTATTATTATTATTATTATTATTATTACTACTACTACTTCCCTTCCTGACCAGCTCTGTAGGGTTGTTATTTTTTTAAGTAGATAAATCAATAAACATATAAAGAAAGCTAGATCCACATTCCTCAGAGCATATTCCCTCATTTATCACTCCTGAAGTTTTGATGTGTTTCGTCATTATCCCTCTGCACAGATCATATGTTTTTTCATACATCTGTAATATCTTGCACACATGGGGTACCATAAAAACACAAATACCTGACAGTACCTGTCTCAGGCAGATGTGTTTCTAGTCTATTCCTGCTAATGTGCATGGCATTTTGTGAAAAGCATTAGCCTCATTTTTTGCCAGAGGGCAGGATCCTGCCAGCACCCTTTCCATACAGATCTCTTGGACTCCTCTCAGTCAAGAAAGATCTGGTGGTTTGGGATGGGTGTTCAAGCCTGCAAACACCTGAGGGCTATTCCAGTGAGCTCCCCATGATCAGTAAGTACCAGCGAGCAGCAGTGAGGCAGCAAATATTGCACATAATAGGTTTTGCTTCTGCCTGATGTGGGGGGTTTGTTTTAGCTGCATTTTACCCTGCCGTTCTCTATCACGTTAACAGAACAGATGTAATTTCATTGAGGACTCCAGTTCAGTAAATTGCAAAGAGGCTAGTATCAGATATCAGCCATTACCCCATAAGGCCATTTTATTGCACACTCAGACACAAAGCAGTTGGGTCCGAGCCTGTCAGACCTTATCACTTGGTAGCTCTCAGATCCCATTACTGCTGCGTTTTCAAGATTAATGCTAAAATCCCTCCACATAATTCAAGTCAGCTGGGTGATTCACTTTCCTTCCTCTCCAATCTCTGAGTGTTCAGACTGAATAATTTACAGAGAAGAGAAAGAGGATGCAACACTGCACAAGGGACCCATGTCAAACCTCCTCACCGCCCCTGGCAGCATTTTGAGTAACTTGATCACATGTGATGCATTTTAAACTGTTTTATATATCATGGCCAAAAGTGAAACAGATCTCTCCTAAGCACCATGGAGCTTTGTGACTTGAGGAAATTCAGCGGGGGTAATTTAACAGAACTCACGATATTGAAATATATTACTTAGGAACAAATCTTCACCTTGAATAACAACCTAGGAAATCTCCAGCATTTCCCCATCTCATTCAATATAACTCCCTCTGTTTTCTTTTCCAGGACAAGCAGGGAATTCCTTGGTGGTTAGGACTTAGCTACAAGGGGATTTTTCAATATGACTACCATGACAAAGTGAAACCAAGAAAGGTAAGTGTTTACTTTTCTACCAAGGCCTGGGCTTGCTATGCCTGTTAAAGCTTGATTTGAGGGTGTGATATATGCCAAACGCTGGCATTGATTCATGTGATTTTGAAGGATATTCATTTTCCCTAAACTTGTCTGAAAGTCTGCAAAGAATTAATGGACAAAAGTAGCTCTTAATTTATTAAATGTTGACGTATGGGAGGAAATAATAGGTGCATTGACTATCCTTTTATTCACTGAAGGCTATTAATGGGGTTTTTTATTCCTTGAAGAAAAGGATGAGGGGAGTAAGGACGTCTTCACAGAGCATCTGTGCTCTAAAAGACACACCTATTTGGGATCAATCATTACCTACAGGGCAAGCCATACTGACACGTGATAGTTTAAAACATGCCTAGGCTAGGTGTTTGCACCCACATATCTCCATTAGTGCCAACCCCCCAGGGAAGACATGTCCTTAAAAGATGCCTTCAGAAGTCAGTCTTAGTAACAGGAACATTTCTTTGGAGGAAAATAATGCCCTGCCATGACAGGACTCAGCCATTTACAAGCTATAGCAATTTTTATCAATCCTGATGGGATGAGAGGGTTGGTGGAGAACAGCAGAAGAAAGAACAAAAGAAGTCAGGTATTCTGACAGCGTGAGAGGAGACAGCTGTCTCCACTAGAAGAGTCAAGCCTCCTTTCTCAGCTTCTCTGCTTTCTCTTCCTTTCAGCTGCTCAGTGTGATTCAGTCTGTAATATTAATTTTAGAGCTTGGTAACATCTTGGCCAGCCTCTCTGTCCCTCCACTAACCTACCTCTAGTTCTCACACTGCTCCTTGAATCAGGGCCTTAAGCATCTCCTACCCATTTTCTGCAGTGTAACCCTAAAAAAATAGCATGCCAGTTTTCTCTTGATTGGGAATTATTTATTTTTTGTCTCAGCAAATTATATATGAAATCCAGGAGACCCAGAGCAATGTATGCCTTACGTATAAACCACTGAGAACTTCTGTGGCTTAGCAGAAGTGGTCATAAATCTGGGTGGGAAGGGAGAGCAGAAATTTCCGGGCTAGAATTTGTCCATTGCCATAATCCAGAGACCACAGCAGTGAAAAGACAGCCTAGATGAGCATTTCTGCGTTAATGTGATGCTTGCAAACCCCATCTGTTGGCAGGGCTATTCGAAAATGCACAGCCTAAATCAGGGACAGGACTCGGATAGAGTGGCTGAGGCTTCATTATTTCTCCATCCAGTGCTTTTAGCCTCTGTAGAGCAAGTGAAAAGACTTCTTACCCTACACAGGTGGTAAAACCCCTCTGGCGAGAGCAGTTCAACTACCTCAGCGAGGCACAATGTTTAATCCTCTGCTAATTAGATTGTAAAATTTCACTTGATAACCCTGGTATCTGGGAGCTTACCATAGTATCTGATTCATTTCACTATACCAGCATGGGCTGGTTCAAGTCTTTGCTGTGCAAAGGGGAGGGGAAATCCTTAATGTGCTTTCTACAAGGTAAAATTAGGGGGGGAGGGGAAAGAGATTTTGTCTTTTCTGATCGTTATTATTTTGTTCCTGCACATTGCCAGTGCCAGAAACAAACTGAAAAATTACAATGGAAAAATAAATCTCCCTGGAAGAAACACAAGCAGAAAATTGTAGCAAGAAACCAGCTGAAACCAAGACATTTATATTAAATGCATATAAAAACCTTGCTTGTCTTATAAGGGAGATTGTAATGTTTTCCTATTATGTCATCCTAGATAGATTTCCATGCTTATTGTGTTTGCAAGAAAAACTGTAACCCACACTAAGCAGCTGAGCCTATCTCAGGCGATCCCATTAGCAGTCAGTCAAAACCACGTTTTCGTTAAATTGCTGGAGTAAATCACCCATGTGTCTCTAGAAAACTAACTCGGTTTGTCAGCAAGTTGGATGAGTCTGGAGAGGAGAATTGAGGCTAATGCAGGGCCAGAACCTGATCTTGCTTTCGCTATTCTCACTCGGGCATAAGTCCTCCGGTATTACTGGGGATGCAACTGAGATGGGTATCTGGCACCTAGTCCACAGTGATTCAGATGGGAATGCAGGGCTGTTAAACTGGAATGCAGCTGGAGCTGGGCTGCAGAGCCTAATGTGACTCTGTGCTTCTATTTTTATGCTCTCTCCTCCTGATGCTTGACTTCTGTGGAAATCCTGAAGCTACCCAAAGCCATCACTTTGAGGCTTAATATTCTCCTTTCTGTTTTCCTCCTGCATGTTCAGAGGCTAGCTCACAGACTCAGCAAGCCCTGCCAAAGGCTTCTTCTTGAATGTCGCTTGTTTGAACCCAGTTTTGGTCCATATCAGTTATGATCTGACAGCTGGTCATTCTTAGGTATTAAATGAATGCAAACGTTTTGGTATACCTCACAAAATCTGCAGCTGGACAAGAAGGGAGTATCACGTACAGAAAGATGGCTGCTATCCTGCTAACCATATGCTGAGACACTCTGGAAGTTCAGTAGTGGCTTGCAGAACCAGTGTCATTTTTTGTAGCAGCAGCACACAGCATCCAACGTGGGCATAATCCCCCTCCCTCTATGTTAGGCTCAGCTTCCACAAACTCTTCCCTGTGAGAAGAAAAAGCCCTTCAAGGCTTGGCGTGCCTTGAAAAAGCACAACAAAAAGGAGTCATTGTCTTGCTGGGTTATACCCATCTTGAGTCAGCACCATCCAATATTCATGGGAAACCAAAGCAAATTCTTTGGAACCGGGTCTTCAGATAAGATGTGCCAGCACCACTCTCCCACAAGCTGCTGAGGCTGTAGTGACCAAAACCATCATTTTCAGAGAAGGGTCATTAGGGGTTTTTTTGCTTGCATTGCAGAGCAATTGGAAAGAAGGAGCAAGCCATTACAGCCCCCCTGTGTGACTATATTATCTGTGAGTGGTGTTTGTATATTTTAACCAGCAGGTAGGGATGTAACTCTGCTCCATCCCAAGACACTTGTACATGGAGCAGAAGCAACATAGCCTGGAGCTGTGAGACCAGCATGCCCAAGCAGTAGTAGTAGTAGTACTAGGCACGTCTCTCTCCTTTTAGTGAGATATTCCCACTGATTTAAGAGCCCAAAGGCATCTTTTAATGCACACAGCTTAACAGTTAGTAAACAATTAACTCCAAGCTGGAGAGTGAATGATTAACGAAGTCAGCCAGAGGACTTCCATATAGCAAATAAACAAGCAGAGAAATTGTTTAACTTATCACCAGAAATAAAATTACCTTAAAGGAGAGTCTGGTCGTGTTTGGTTGCTTTGTAAGAAATACTTCTGTATAGTGTTATTTTCTTCCACAGAAGGCTAGTGGCAACGAAACTTAAGGTGAGCCTTTTTTCTCAGACTTGTAAACATTATTATCAGTGTTTGCATTCTCTGGTTGTCTGAAAAGAACCCGAGGGGTATAAAGACTTTTGGAAACAAGATAAAATGTGAGGCATCCCAAAATTCCATTGCGAATATAGCTTGACAAAGATTTTCCCTGTGACAGCCAAGTATCGGTTTCCGTCGTTTCTTCCCAGCATTATCCTTTTCTCTGAGATGAAATGAAGCATGCTATGAAAATACTCTGTCCCTTGCCACAAAGTCTCCACAATGCTCTGTGGATTCTCATTACAGAAGAATTTCACTTGTAGTATTGTTGTGAATCCAAAGCAATGGTAATGGATTGACTTCCCATTTAAACATGCAAAAAGAAGAGCTGAGTTGGACCCATCCTACCAAGCAATACAAAGCACAAGCAAAATCAGTAGCTTTAAGTGTCTGATCAGAGAGAAATCACCTGCTTGTCAACAGCATGAGCAAAGTAATCAGCATGTTGTGTCCAGAAAGTGAAAGATTGCTGTTGTGATGTCACTTGGCCTTTTCCAAACAGCAAGAGATAGAGTGAACTTTCCCAATTCCAGAGGCAAAATGAGATATTTACACAGGAGGAGCAATAGACTAATTAAGAGCTGCTTTATTGCAGTACAAATAGAGATCCTCTCTGCTTTAGGGCATAATGAAGCATTGTCAAGTCAGTAATTGCACTGATGGAGTGGTTAAACTTGTGCTTCCTGTGGTGAAGGAATGACAGACCAGTAACTTAAGAAAACATAAAGTAGGGATTGATGTGAAATGTATAAAAACTAGTGAACGATGGGGAGGAGGAAGCTGACAAATTGGTCTCTGTTCTGACTGATCATAAAACGTCAGGATAATCAAAAAAGGCAAAAGAAACAAGAAATTCAAGTCAGTTACAGGGACCCCAATTCACTTGTATAACTCCTTGCCTCATGATACAATAGAGGTCAAGAGCTTAGAAGGGTTGAAGATAGGACTAAAAGTGTGACCACCCCCATCCAGAGGTTTACCATTGAATTGGTTGGTTTTGAACAGGATTTGGGGAGGGGTTATAAACCCTCACGTTCAAGGAGAGTGTTTGATTTGGCAGCAGGTTGGTTTCTGTTGTCAGAGGCATTGGCGCATGTGTAACACTCCTCTCACTGGCGTGCCACCGAGCCAAGGGTGTATTCAGAAAGGGCTGGCCTTTGTCTAGAGCATCCAGAATCAAGTGGGGTCAGAGACAATGTATTGGACTTCTGTCAAATTGGGCTCTTATTGGAACGGCATCATTTCCTGAGACCTTTGCAAACATCTTTGCACTGCAGACAGGGATAAAAGATTTCAAATTTACAAATGATACAAGAGGAGCAGAAAACATTTTCAGGAAATACTGGTTTAAAAGCTAGTGGAGTCTCAGTGGCATTGCTGCAATAAATTATTCACTATGATTAGCTGACTGTTAAGGACTACCTGCTGACTCCTTCTGCTCTGAGCTTTTATTTCTCTTCCCGTTGCTGATCCTTCATGCTTTTTGGATTATGGACTTGGCTGTAAACTGAACCAGTCTTCAGGTCACGGCGGGTTCAACTCATTTTATAGTGCAGTAATTCAGTCTTGGTTTAGTATTTGGAAATGTGGAGCACTGGAGAAGGGAGA